CATCGGGCTCCCTGCTCAGCGGGGAGCCTGCTTCTCCCTGTCCCGCTCCCCCTGCTTGTGTTCCTGCTCTCGCTATATCTCTCTCTGTCAAAAAAAAAAAAATAAAATCTAAAAAAAAAAAAAAAAAAAAAAAATCAGGGCTTCTCTGTTTAGGCTAGGTTGACCTTTGATAATTAAAATATACAAATTCTTAGTTTCAGAGAGAAGAAAAAGATAAGGAAGAGATGGGACTGATGATAAAAGATTTTTTTCTGTACAAGTTAACAGCAAGCAAAGAGAACTAAACACAGGCATGTGAATTAAAAATTGTTCTAGAAAGTATTTTTGTAAGCATCACCTCACTGGAGCCTCAGCAGCTAAGGCTCCGCAGGTGTGCAGACCTGGTGACAAAGAATGAGAGGGGCTCCATCCTTTATGCTCTGTGATGGTGCCCTCTCTAGAAGTCCTCTCCATGCCATAAAAAGATGAGGCATGAAAATTGTTCGGAAAAAAAGAAAAATCGTGCCAAGAGTCCAAATGGTAAACAAACTGAAAAGGGAAATAAGACAAAGAATCTAGCAAAAGAAAGAATATGGATAACGCACAAATTTTAGAAGAGAAACCTGGCTCCTAAGATGAATCATTCCACTTTTCACCAGTCCATGAGGACCAAGGGAGTTAACAAATGGGTATTTTGTTGCCAAAGGATCAACCCAGCTAATAGTCTAGGAGAAAGCTAGTATCTTAGCATATTATTGGGTATAAATCATAATTTAAAGAATGGTAACTCACATGAAACTTCCTTCTAAAATCTATGTTGAGGCTTTCGCACATCACCCCTAGCCCTGAGATCTCACTTTCCCAGCTCTCCCCACGGATAGAAAAGTCATTTGTTGATAATGGAGATACGCTTCCAGACACTAAAAAACGAAGACAATCAGGTAAAGTTAAAATATGTATTACAAATTTAGTCTGAAGTTAAACTTCATGCAGTTTAGAAGCTCATGAAGCTGAGAACAAAATCTTATTTTCACATTCTATGCATGATCTAAGAATTGACATAAAAGGTAGACCTATTTTTCAATTTAAAAATATTTTGATTTCTAAAAAATCTTGGCAATGGTAATATTGGGATGGAACATTTTTGGACTGATCATTTTCTAACTATTTCCATGTTAATAACCAAATATTTAATGACACACCAATCTCTCAGTAAATTTATATTCTAGTAAAGCTTATATGTGGTAATCAGTAATAGAATCATAAAGGAGATTTATGGGTACAAACACACCCTTACTGCCATATTTTTCACATAAAATGAACTTTGTGATAAAGCATCATCCTTATTAGACTGATCCAGAATTCTCTTTACACAGGGGATTTTTTTGTGGATCATTCAAGATCTAAAACCACGTTCCACAATAATTGCATTTTGACAAAGGCATTTGATCTACCTACCTTTGTAAGTGTGATGATCTCTATCTTCGGTTTTAGACAGTTTTTTGGGAAGCAAGTATGCTCTCCCTTCCTCCTCTTCTTCCAATTGTATTTCATCAGCATTACTTAGATTATCTTCGATGTACATTCGTTTGCGACTAAGATGCTGTGTAGGGCCTTAGGTACAGTTAAAAAACAACAGTGCTACAATCTTGATTAAAAATACCTAATAATTGTCTTGCTTTTATTTAAAAAAAAAGGCTTTCAGTTATTTGTTTTTAGGCAACTGTGCATTAAGCTCTATTTTCCATTTGACATTAATTAAACTGAATAAATTTTGTGACTTCAACTAGAATTCCTTTAGATGCACAGTAGTTCAGTAATACTGTTTGTAAAGCAGTGTAGGACTACAAACCTGACACATGAGGAGAGTCACAAGGCATGTCACACCATATTTGCTCTCTTTCTTCACTAGACAGGGATAGTGGAGATGCGGAATGACTTCCCTAAAACAGATATTAGAAATTGGAAACAAATTCTGTAAGCGCTCTTGGCTTCGCCTTTGACCATCTTTCTCAAACCCTAAAGCAAGGGAATTGCAAATGGGGTCCATTCCTTTTTCAGATAGTTTTGTTTATATCCCTTCCTCTGCATCTCTAACACAACCACACATTAATGAAAATTCCTCTGTTCACTTCAATCCTAAATTACAGCAATAGTTTCCAGCTGGCTTTTTCAACTACTATTCTTCCTTAGTAGGATTTCGATTTCTTTGAGTCAGGGAATGGGAAGCCATACAAAACAGAAGTCTAAACTCCTCTCTCAACCTGCATTTCAGCCACACCTTTTCATCTAACCTGGTGTTTTCCTGTTTCAGTACGCAAGTTTCTCCATTCCAGTCAAATGAGTCATTTTCCTCTTCCATGAAAATGCATGCCCACCCCAGTTGCCTTCCTTTACTTATTAGGTAGTAGATCCAGACCAAGCAGCGAAGGAACAGAAGCCTACCTACTGAGCTGGAGGTTGAGCCCTCCCCAAGCTATAAAATTCTGCCTTACCGTTCTGTGTTTTACAGGTTATTACAGTATTTTTGAGGATGAACTGATGGACTGCTACAGTGACACAAAGCTCAACCAAAGTTCTATATAATGAAACCAGAAAGTCCCAGTTATAACTATGCATGTCAGTGGCTCAGCAGCTATATCCTCACTATTTAAGACCTTACAACTTCTCATTTAAAAAATTTCAACTTTTTTCCATGATCAAACCATCCTGCATACTTTAAACATCAGATTTTCAGTAACAGTTAAAAATATTAAAATATAATTATTAAAGGCCAGTAATCTGATTCTTGTAAGAACAATCTTAGTTTAAGTTGGATGGTTATACTACCCTTTAAACCTCTATTGCTTTGTATAGGATTTTCATTGTTTACAAGTTCAACTTCATCAACCTTTTTCTGAACTATAAATGCTTACATCTGAGTAGTTGTTGCAATTGTATCTTGTGTAAGTACCACAGAATTTCTGTTTTTTCCATTCACAACAGTATTATTAATTGGAGTGAGCCTGGGCTATGAATGAACAAGACATATGCAAGCCCAAAGGAAATTAGAAAATTATTTAAAGCCAAAACACAACAGTATGAAACCAAAACTATTTGTGTTTTGAGGGAATAATTCATTTGCTGCTAAAATTCAACACCCATTCCCAATTAAAGGGGAAAAAATCCTTAGACAACTAAAACATTAATTTGATAAAAGTAACCACCAAAAACTACCGAATAAGCACGCCTACTGGTATGGTATCTAGTTAACACTGTCCCTGAGGTCATCATCACCTTAACAATAAAAAACAAGTATAAGGACTGGAATGAAAAATGCAAAAATTATCATGAGTAATTGTCTATATTCAAAATCCAAGAGACCCTAGGCAGGGAATTATGATAGAATTAGTCTATGTAGTTGGGGATATAAAAATCAATAGTGTTTCTATACAAAAGCAAAAAATTAACCCAGAAAATTTAGGTTTTTTTTAATACAGAAAAAGGGAAATACATAAAACACAGGAATTAATCTATTTTCTTTGTGGAAGATTTGGCATAATTTTGTTGGAAACAGCACCAAAATGTAGAGAGAAAAATATGTGGACGAGAAAGCTCAGTATCAATATTGGAAAATGGCAATTCCCTTAGACAAACTGCATAATTTACATGAATGAGTAGAGGGCCAAGAATGAGAGAGGTGTGGTGTGGTGAAGCCCCTGTAAGGCTCTACTCATGATGTGGCCTCAGTACAGAGAGAGCCCGCCTCACAGCTGCCCCCCTCATTGCCGGGGCTGTGCCCAGATGAGCATTGCAAACGATGTAGACAGCAGGGTACCCTCATGCATGATGCTGCACTAATTCACTACCCACGTGCAAAGAGAAATCCTAGAAAAATTGAAAACCTAAAAGTTAAAAGGCATCAAAACTAGTATTTTTACCAGAAAGGAATATGACAGTAGCTGAGGGATTTGTTGAACACAAAGACTGGTAAATTTTATGGTATCATTTTTTTGTCACATGGAAGTTTTTTTATTTAAGTGAAAAGATAACATACTGGAAAAAGAATGTTTTCATTGTATGTAACCAATACAGAATTAATATCTAGAATATTTTAAGAACTCCTACAAATTTATAAGAAAAATCAGACGATGCAATTAAAAAATTAGAAAAAAAAATAGGCAATTCAGAAACCAGCCAAAAAACATGAAATACTGATGCTGTTAATCAGTAAAATGCAGATTAAAGTTCCTCACTGGGGTGCCTGGGTGGCTCAGATGGTTAAGCGTCTGCCTTCGGCTCGGGTCATGATCCCGGGGTCCTGGGATCAAGCCCCGCGTCGGGCTCCCTGCTCAGTGGGGAGTCTGCTTCTCCCTTTCCCTCTGCCTCTCTCTGCTCATGCTCTCTCTCTCTCTTTCTCTCAAATAAATAAATAAAATCTTTAAAAAACAAAGTTCCTCACTATAATTACAGATTGGCAAAAAGAGAACCATCTGGTAACAGCCGGTTAAAACTGTAGAGAAATGGGCACTATCACAGAGCAGTGTTGGAGTGTAAGCTGATAGAACTATTTATATAGCAAATTTCTAATATCTAAGAGTCAACAGTAAATGGGAAACAAATGGCCAATAAGTATGTGACAATTAAAATTCCAACTAGCACCGAGTGACATAAAAGAAAGTGGGCAGCGGATTATCTAGGTTTTGAGATTTGCAAGATGGAATACTGAGGGGAGAAAGGGTTCAGGGAAACCAAGGATAGTAGAGCAATATTGACAAAGGATGGTGGGATGATGATCTAGCAGGAAACTGGTGTTCAAACTGTGGTCTGTAGAAACTGAGTCTTGCCAAGGTGCCGTGGGGGGTTATTGGGGAGGGAGGTCAAGTAGGCTAGGGTGCAGACCTCCTGCTTTAAATAGTGTAGCTCTATTTTTATCTGTTTGGCACATTGGTGCTTTCATGAGAGATTTTGTTAGAAAAATATGCTCTGTGAAGACTACTTGCTAAACAGAATAGAAGGAGCTTAAAAGCCTATAGGAAAAAAAACATTCAGTTCGAAATACTAGGACAGAAGTTCGGTTTAATCAGAGATTTCAGACCATGGCTGTAGGTGTACTGAACTCTCATTAATTCCATCTCTGTGTACAGAGGTTAGTACATATCAAGAGGATAATATATTTGGGTATTTACTATGTATCAGGTAGTAATGCATGCGCAATCAGACTAACTTTCCATGGCCCCACTATGCAGATGAGAAAACTGAGGTGCAGGGGGACTCATTAACTTGTAAAATGTTACACAGTCAGCGAAGAGTGGAGCCAGGATTTAAATGCGAATCTGTCTGACTCAAACCTCTTTCTACTATACCCAGTTATAGTAAATTATAATATCTTGGCAGTCAGTTGTATAACTTTATTACTGCTTTAAAATTCTCTAATTTAAGCCATTTATACAACTCAAGTCAAAAAAAAGGGAGTGGAGGTGGGGTGGGGTTTGTAAACTGGTACCAAAGTATCCACAACTTAAAACTATTCCTTGTAGGCATGACAGTTTTAGCTATCCTCCCTCACTTTGACTGTAATTGATTCCTATCTTTAATGTCTTTTTACAACCCTTGTGAACATACCTACATATTAAGAAAAAATGGTACAGGGCGCCTGGGTGGCTCAGTCGGTTAAGCGACTGCCTTCGGCTCAGGTCATGATCCTGGAGTCCCGGGATCGAGTCCCGCATCGGGCTCCCTGC